GGGTGCTTTATCTACTGTTACTTGAATTGGATAGAGTCAGTTTTGCAAAGCAAGCTTTCCTGAATACCTACAGTAATAGGAGTTTTTAAATAGCTATTGCATCTGTTCAGTGAAGTCTCTGTGCTGTTTAATATGCACTGAGGGGTTTATAATTTTTGTCTCGATAGATATATCAAACTATAGCTTTCTCTTTTTTTGGTCTTTATTAAGATAGAACATTCGTGCCCTTACGGTTTAGTATTGAGTGTGTGATGACTTTTTATTCCTGCCTTTATGCAAGTGTGTTATATGAGCAAATGCTCTTTTTTCAATTTCCAATAACCTGTTGCAAATTTCAGTTTGAAACAGTATTTGCAGCACTATTCTTTCTATGTTGATAGTAGTGCAAATTTTCTGGAGTGTTTTTTTGTGAGAGCTTTTAATCCAGAAAAAATGAATATACACTGTCACTGTACTGACCAGACATGAAAAGAATAGGATAAATCATTTCAGAGCAAAGCATTATATTGTTAGTATTTGATTATTAGATATTAGAGATCAGTTGTCTATTCAGCAGACTGTTAAGCATCAAAATTTCATACTGCATTCTAAAGTGGCCCAGATTTTCTAGTTGTCTGTTTCTCAGATCAAACCTCAGAAAAAATGTCTTTGTCACATTTAATGAGAAATTATTTTATTATTTTAAGCAGGATTTTTGTCTTAAGCTGTACTGAGAAAAAATTGAAATGGCACATGATAGATAAAACATGATGTGCCTTCTGTTGCTCTATTATTTAATAGCAATAACAACTAATTAGGTCTGTTGTTTTTTATGGAGTGCAAAAGTTAAATGACTTGTCCACATAGTTACTTGCTTCTGTAAAAACACATGAAGGAAAAAAAAATAGAGTGTACAAAAAGGAACTTGTAGGATTTCTTTGTTTTCACCTTCAGGGAAAGAAGTTTGGGAAGAGCAGGGAGAATGGCCTTTCTGGGTATGAGGACTTGCAGAGAAGTCAACCTTCTACCTGTCTGGGAGCAGCAGGGCAGGCTGTTCCATGGCAGAAGGCAAGCTGGGAACTGAGGAGGACAGCAAGCCAGGCAGGGCTTGTCCTCATGAGCCAGAGGTGCAGTCCCGCAGTAGCCAAATCGGAAGATCACAGCAGGTTCAGTGACAGTAACCAGGGGCAGCAAACAGCCCTGTGGTCTGTAGCCATGAGGCATGTTTTAGGTCAAGCCAGGTAGCCAAGTCAGTGAGTCAAGTCCATGACCAGTAAGGTACATAGATGAAGCTCGGGCAAGGACTGAGAGCAAAGGCCTGAGCTTGAAGACAGTTCATGAATGAAGTAAGGCCTTCAGTGAGACTTCTCGGAAGTCTTACCACAGCACTCCCATCCCAGGTTACTCAGCTGCACTGGGTCAGAGCTGGGCTTGAGCACAAGCAGCGAAATCCCTGGCCAGGGGACTAGGTAAGAGAGCCTGTTGGTGTGCTCCAGGAGCTGACATAACTAACCAACCAGGGAATGTGGGCACGACACAGCCTTCAGCATGGATGAAGGTAGTTGGTGCTGCCACCGTTTTACCACCACCTGGTTGGGTGGTGAAGGACCGCATCCTGTGGTGGTGACCATCTCCTGCAGTAGGTGGTGAATGGGTAGGCTGTGTCATGTGTAGTCTAGCACCTTAGGATCTCAGCTGTGCTGGCAACATTCAGTGCTGGACCTACTGTTGAACCATGGTGGTTATTTTCCAGGTCGGTTGTGGAAGTGCAAGGTGGACATGAACTTGAAAAAATTTGGAGCAAGTTCTGTCTCTTGAGCGGAAGATAAGATGACGTACCTATGTGTACTTGTAGTAAATTATTTTTATTTGAGGAAAAAGCCAGAAATAATCCATCGTTGTTGGAATATAACTTAAACCACACTGAAAGCAGTTTTTAATTTTAGCTGTGCATGGAAAGGACACGTGCAGAATAGTGGAATGAATTTTTAAGGTTCTCTTCTGTCAATGTAACATTCTGTTTTGGGCTCATTCCTTTTAAATTCAAGTAGTTTCTTGTGGAAACAGACACTCTGTAACACTGACAGTTTTTGATGTTTCTGATTTAAAGAATAATTTCTCTGCCTCAGGAAAATCTATCCCCAAAATGAGAATGGGGGTGTTCATAGTGCTTTATTTTTAGATCGGTGTGCTTATATTTTAGAAAAAGTAACTCCTAAAGTGCTTTACTTGCTAACCTTTTATTTTTTTATCTGAAAAGTACAGGCACATGCGATTTTTGTGGCTCTTTGCCAAAAGATTATAATTTACATAAATATTTCTTTCAAAGGCATAGTTTAAGACATTGAGCTCAGGGGGTTAGAATAGAGACTTCAATCTGCGCACCAGCAGTGGGCTATTGGCTTCTGAACAGTGGCTTTGTTCATCATATTCAGAACACTGTTCGCATTCAGACTTAAGTAGAGCTGGCATTAAAAATCAGCTAATTTGTTTCATGTGATTCATCAGCTGTGTGTTTTATTTAAATCTATGTCACATTCTCTTTTGGCTTTTTATTTTGTAGATTTAAGTGTTGAAGTAGGCCACTCTTTAACTCTTCAGTCCCTGACTTAGAAAGTGGCTTAATTTTAGTTTTGCCAGTGTTGAAGTCTTGTCTAGAATATGCACAGTAAATGTATATAACTAAAGTGTGCATTAGTGGGTTTGAGTTTTTTACTTTTCTGATGTTTGAATAAAATCATACACATTTACAGTCAGTTTAGTCATAGTTTTATGTATGGCAAAAGAGAAGAACCTAAAGTAGTAGCTAAATGTTCTCAGATTCTGTTGAGTATGCAAGTTTTACTTTGATACTGCCGATGTTCTTAATTTTTTTTTTTTATTTTCACCATACACTCCTTGAGGTAAGGACCACTCTTAACTCGTACTGAATTTCTTTAAACACTGCTGGAGAATGAGCTGTTTCCATTCTTTGAAACTGTGACCTACTTCTGGGTGTGAAGTTTCTCTTCTTACAGAGGCACCACCTTTTATTCTCCGAAGGCTGGAGCCTGTGAAGCCTTACATGTATTGAACTTCCCTAAAGTGGGTAATCCCATTGCCATGTGGATGCCTGCTCATTATGATTTACAGGACCCGAACCTTTGTTCGAATAGGCTACACCTGCTTTTAGGCTTTGTATTTGTTACATTTTCCTATGCTGTAGAAGTGACATCTCATTGTGAATAAAGTTGTTTGTAGATACTGCTTACGACAGCATGCTATGGCAGTGTTCTCCATCTTGATGAGAGAATTTTTTAATTCTACTTTTAGTATAGAGCAAGACTGTCCTAAAAGGTCAGATTGAAAGATTAACAAACAGTTAAAATAAACTTTGTAATGTAAAAGAGTTACACCAGCTAGCATCAGTCCTCATTTCTTTTATATGTCTTAACATTGAATGCTAAATATTCTGTGTAAATCTGCCACTGTTGTCTCTGGACTAATGCCATGGTACATAAAATTGTACTTTTTATAGAGGAACTAAAAATAAAGATAAAATAAGATTGTTCCTTTTAAAAATCTAACAAATTGTGAAATAAGATCATTCAGCTAATGCTAGATTTAGTTCACTAGCTGTATTAAAAATGCATTTAAATTACAACCAAGTTTTTAAAAAGTGTGTGTTCTTTTCATAGACACATGAGTGTGTATTTAATGCAAGAAATTCTTGGTTGCAGTTTGATAGGTTACTGAGTGTACATGAGGGCTCCTTCCTCCCTTTCCACCCCTGCACTGGCATTTGCCTTGGCTGCTTCACTTGTCCAGTAATCGGATAAAACTCTTACACTTTGTGCTGTGCTCACTTCTGTTTAGCGAGTTGCAGCAGCTCACAGTGAACGTGTCTATGTTAAGTCACCCCTTTTCATGGAACTGCAATCATGATATGTTTTTGGGAAAAGCCATTAACCTAGTGAGGTGCATCATTCATTTTATAGTTATAGAAAGTTTTTTATTTTTGCATATTTTTCTTCTCATAACTTTTTTCTATTTTTCCTTTCAATACAGTGTGGTTACTTCACTAGTGTCCATATAGAGTGCTCTCACAGTCGCTTCGTAGTCATTGCTATAGCCATGTCAGCCATTCTCAGTGCATTTTTCCACTGTTTCCATTTTTATTGCACTGCATGCGAGAAACATTTTTTCGTTTTAGTAATCGTGAGTTTAGATTATCATTCCTTTTGTGGTGTCAGATGAGATACTGGTCATGATGGTAAATAAGACAGGTCCATCTGACCCCTCATGTCAGCGTCCATCTCTTGCTTACATTTGGTAGGAGCTTTTCATAACCATCCACAAGGCTAACATTTAATCCTTCTCCTTGTTCCTTCCTAAAGCTCTCCTTTATACTAAACTTACTAAAAAACCCCACCATTGCTTGAAAATAGTCATCATACAACAGTCTTTTGTATTGATACTTTCTCATTGCTTTGTTGTTCTCGGTTTGCAGCTTCTGTCTTAGTAGGTGAACTACTTGAAAGCAGTTGTTTTACCACTTTTTGCCATGAAATCATGCACAGTTGAGTTTTGAACAATGTCTAAGATGCCTGCTGTTCCTGTTACAAGAAATGTTAGTTTAAAAATGAGATTTTTAACCCTGGAATTTGTGATGGGGGTGTCAGAATTTGTATGGATGTGTGAGGTTAATGTTGACAAATGTTACCTTCCCCTTACTCTGGCTTTGATGTTGCTGATCTGTGGATTCCTGATCGGATTTTAGTCTTCTATATGGCTTCTTTGAGATTCCTCTGAAGCATACAGTTAGATCAGATTACGCAGAGGTTTGAGATTCTTTGCATATTAGAAAATGTTAACCTGTGCATTCTGCAGACAGTGCAGCTCTTTTTGGGTTCTTGGCAATTTTCTGGAGAACAGGGAGAATGGATGCAAGTGTACCAGTATTTCACCCTGGAATAGCACCATGCAAATGGAAGTCATACGCTAATAAATGTGGTTTATGAATTCTGTAATTTTTCCCCCAGAATTTCAAAGAATATTCCTACAACTAAAGATGTCGAACCTCTGCTTGAAATTGATGCAGATATACGGAACTTTGAAGTATTTTTATCTTCGCGGACACCTGCTCTTGTTGCACGTGATGTAAGAACCTTTTTGCCATGTACTGTGAACCTAGATCCCAAGCTGCGAGAAATCATTGCAGGTGAGTATGCTTTCAAATAAGTGGAAAATCCTTTTTGTTCTCAATTTTTTCCAACCTCCTTCTTTGCACTTAATATCTGCAGTGGCATTCCCTGACTTTGTTCACAAGCTCTGTCTCATTAATCTCATCAGAAACAGTACAGGTCTGACTGTCACATCAGACGTGCTTACCATCAGAGGCGTACTTGGCATCGTGTATTCCTGCATTTCTTCCCAATTGAGTGGGGATTTTTAACTTGCTTTCTCTGCTTGAAGTTATTTAATATGCTAGATAGACTTACGCAATAAACTGTCCTAACTCTCCTAAAGACTCCTGTGCATATGTGATCCTCAAGAGAAATCAGCTGAATGCAGCTGAAAGTGACATTTGACGTTCTACTTGATGAGTTCTGATTGGAGTTAAATACACAAAAATGTATTGTAATGAATTGGCAGACAAATCAAAACTTTTTCAAAAATTGCAGGGAAAATCTCATTTTTCCCTCCTTTTTATTTTTCAGATGTTCGTGCTGCAAGAGATCAAATGAATATTGGAGTACTTCCTTATCCCACCTTGCCTTTACATGAGGCGCCTGCTAGAGCAACATCTCTGTTCAGTCAGCCTTCGTCAGCGTGCTCTTCTACAACCTCTTTCAACGGACCTTTCAATAGCGGAGTTCTATCACCACAGCCCCATAGCAGTTACTATAGTGGTATGACAGGACCTCAGCATCCATTTTACAATCGGGTAAATAATCGAGAACCAGTTAACAGTCTTCTGATCTAATCTGGTAATATTGCAGATGTCATGTATAAAATAGTAAAAGACCCATGCAAGTTTTATTTAGGAGTGGAGAACAGTCCAGAAGTTGATGCATTTCGCATTAATGTTCAGACATTGTAGCGTGGGGGAGAAATGTGGTAAATTGCATCAGAAAAACAAATTACAGAAGGGGAAAAGAGTCAAATCGTTTTGAGACGCTCCTCAGTTGTAGGATATTGCAGGGCTTTTTTTATTTTTGTGGGGTAAACTGTACTCAGTTGTTCACATACTTGCTCAAAGACATTGGAAGAGATCATGGTGCTTCTTTGGTGATTTTGGTTAAAACCTGCAGAAACGGAGTGGGGAGCTACATCACAAGAGTGCATGTCTGTCTTCCTTTTTGTCTCTTTTTAAAGTTATTCTGTGAATTTTTCCCAGTGTTGCACTGGTTTAAAGGAAGTAACATAAATTGCATAAAACATACATCTTTTTGAGCTATGTGTGGGCCTCAGAAAACATAGTCCTTGGTATGGCTTACTTGAAAATTAAATGAAGTACTTTACTGTATTGTCTGATTCAGTCGAAACTTTCTGTTTTTATGGGATGTATTCAATATTTTTAAAGTTTATTTTAAACTTCTTTTTGCGCAGTAGTATCAGGGAACAAAAATAGAAAGCTGATAATAAGTCATAGCTTTCTTCTGTATACAGGAAATAGCTTCAACTTTAAGTAGATTTGACTGTAGGTAAATCTTTAAGCTAATAAGCTGTAAAGAAAATTGAGTTATTTCTACATCAGTGTTAACCAAAGCAGAAAAGAGTACATGTAGCACAGAAGAAGTTACCTGTTCTAAAATTATTCTTATATACTGTTTTGTTGAAAATAACTCAAAATTACATATACTTTGAAGTAGTCCAACACTGATGAATGCTTGTCACCTGAATCTTTGTGCTGGTGCTAGCTCAGCTTTGTTAAAGTAGGTGTTTAATTGGAGACCCTGTTTTTGTGTCTGTGTTACTGTACATGACAAGGTTTAAAGTATGTGGTGATATACATTTGAAACGTCTATGTTTTTTTGGTTCTGATAAGCATTTCAAAAGCAATTATTGGTGAGTCATAAGCTGTCCTTACAGTCAGTTGATTTGTTCATTTCTATGAAGTGCATACACAGGCTTACAGGCGTGCTTTCTTTTTTGCCTGTTGAAGACTAAAATACTTCTGTTTTGTCCTTTCTGGAATTTTATACTACCACTCTAGGTATAATTGTTTTTAATGTTTCATGCTTTCAAATATTGACAAAGAGCTATATTCATTACTTTGGAGTCATAAAGGTACTTTCATGAGCACCACATACTGAGCTAAGTGATGGAAACCTTATAATAGTAGAAAACACAGGCTGAAAGGCTATTTCCTTCAGCAATTTCAACATATTTCACTTCTCAGGTTTTTGTAAAAATGGTGTTTAAAAAAAGAGCAGCAGCTGAAGAACAGGCTCTCCCCAGTAGCAGTTTCTGAGAGGTCTTGGATACCTGAGTGGCACAACGCAGTGGCTTCAAATGCTTCTGGGGTAATGCCTGAATTTTATGCAGAGATCCCCCAAGTTCTGGGGATAGATTCCTCCTTCTGACCAGTAAATGGTTCCTGTCCTGTTGTCTTTAAACATCTATTTGTGCTTAAGAAAAAAACTTTTGAGCTGTTGGGGAAAAAGCTCTTTATAGGAAATACAAATTTTTTATTATGTATGTTTCTGCTTGTTCTTTACCTGCTCCTGTGTTACGGACCTTGAGTGTCCAGTGACATTGTCTATTCATTTTTGGTTTTAAACCCCATTCTCCCTCTGTATAAGCATAAAGGAAAGATTGTAGTCCCATTTAGCAGCTCTTCAGCTTGGCACTTTGGCTGTCAGTGTAGAACTATGCTGAACGTGTACGTTTTGCCACCCAGGATTCAAGTTCAGCTTCTCAAAATCACTGCTGTCATGGATCACTGTGGAGATCATGTTTCTCATGGGGAAGGTCAGGTCAGAGCAGTAGGCAAGTCTCATTGGGGTTTTGTGGGTGAGAGCTAGAAATTGTGGTATGTGAAGACTGTTTTTGCAAAAGAGGAGCAAATTCTTTGGTATTTTGGAAAAATAATGAACACCACACTTATACTTTATAGGCTATCTGCAAACTTGGAGAAGAAGTCTACACTGATTTATGCCCAATGTGTATTAATATTGATCTCACATTTTCACAATACCGTATTATTGTACTTCAAGTGCAGATTGAGTCTGTAGAGTTCAGGCCTATAATGGAGAGTTGGGAAGTGGCTGAGATGGGCTCAAGGCATGATTAGAAATTATGAAAGAATTGGGGGGTAATTGCCTTACTGGACAAATTTTTATTCATTGCTTTGTAGTTTGATGACTTGCAAGCAACAAACACGCTCACTGTGTGTTTCAGAGGATAGTCTTCGCAGTGAGAGCAAGGACTTGGGTACACTATGATCATTAAGCATTTCATGCTTGGGGTTTTCCACGTGGTTTAGGCTGTGAGTGGAAAAGAGACATTTCATTATTCTAGAAATAACATGAACTTTTTTGAAGAGAGTTTCATTTCCAGAAAATACAATAGAATCTGTGCCTTAGGACAGTGAAATAATTTTAAATCAGTGAATTTTCTGAATCATCCTACGCTAACCAATGAATGTAAGGCAAAGGCTGGATATTGATCCTCCTGCCTATTTAAAGAACACAAACTTCCACTTGTAGACTAATGGTTGCAATGCATACCATGTCATTTCATATGCTGGAAGAGCATATGAACTTTTTGATGTAATCGTGTGAAAGAGTGTGCAAAGGCTATCTCTAACAGCTAAGAATATGGATTTTCCAGAAGTTACTCAAAGTTGTAGTATATGCAAAATAAGTAATTTATGTACTCAGGAATTAAAAGTTTTACGTTCAGTTAATTTAGAGCTGCTTCTGAGTGCAGAGGTTTTTTTAGTCCTTGTAGACAAATCCGAAGTGGAGCGCTTTAACAAATTCTACTTCTCTATTGAGTCATATGAGGAGCGGCTGACGGAACTGGGATTCTTTAATTTGGAGAAGAGGAGGCTGAGGGAGACACCTTATTGCCCTCTACAGCTACCTGAAAGGAGGTTGTAGTGAGGTGGAGGTCAGCCTCTTCTCTCAAGTAAGAAGTGATAGGATGAGAGGAAATGGCCTCAGGTTGCGCCAGGGGAGGTTTAGATTGGATATTAGGAAAAATTTGAGTACTGAAAGAGGGGTCAAGCATTGGAACAGGCTGCACAGGGAAGTGGTGGTGGAGTCACCATCCTGGAGGTGTTAAAAAAACGTGTGGGTGTGGCATTTCAGGTCACGGTTTAGTGAACACAGTGGTGGTGGGTTGATGGTTGGACTTGATGATCTTAGAGGTCTTTTCCAACCATAACGATTCTGTGATTCTATAAAATGGTTTGTGGTGAATTTGGTGCAATAGACTACTCAGAATCTTGTCATGTGCAGAAACACAAACAAAATGGTATGTTCTGTTTTGTTAAATACACGGGTAATACAAAATTTATTAATGTTATGTATAGAAACATCAGAAATCAGCCATCATTTAGAGATTTCTGTGTGGGTTTTTTTTAAGAACTGAGTAATGAATTGAAAACAGTGAGCACTCTTAATTCTGCTATCCTAAAGTCTAGAGGCTCTGTTGCTTTCCATTACTTTGCCTTAAAGGAGAATTGATAGGGATGAAAATCTTTATTTCAAAACCTCACTCAAATTCACAGAGAAGTCAAAACAAAATTTCACAATGTTGGGGAAGCAGTTTGTACTTCCTAATTGCATTAGCAGTTGTAAGGTTCATAACTTGCAAATGTGTGCACACACACACACACAGAGTTGATTTTAAAACTTGGAATACTGGGGCCTATAGAGTCCTCTGTTGTAATTATATTTGCAATTGTGAGATCTCTGTATCTTCTAGAAGTGACTTTATTAGAAGCCTGAGTTCTCATTTGGACCGTTGACACTGATGTGCTGATAAGACTCTTGGAAATTGGATATTGTTTATTTTCTTGAAATTTGTTAGTAAAAGGGGATAGAAAAGAACCTAGTTATAAAAAGCGTGGTTAGAGTTAACTGGTATTTGTGGAGGGCAACAAAAGTATTTCTGATTTTAAAAAGTGTTTCTGATATTTGTTTTATGATAATTAACATTGCCCTTTAAAATGTTATTTGTATTGAACAACATACATTGACGTATTTCCAACAGAGCAAAGTTCAAATATTGTCTGCTGTAAAAATCCCTTCATAGATTCAGAAAATCTAGCATTTGTGGAAGCCTTCAGATTGGTTGCCACAAATACGAGAAGTTCTAGTGATGCTGTTACGTATCACACTTTTTTCTTTTCATACAGTTGTCTTCAGTATTATGAAACGCTATCTGTTTTACTGAGCATCTAATGTGGAGTTTTTCAGGTCTGAGAGAGTAAAGTTATCAGAATAATCCTGAAATGATCCTTTTCCCATACTCAGAACAGAAGTGTTGCTACCAAACCACTCAAACTCTGTTCCTCCAGCAAACCATGCCAGAGCACCCATTGGTGCTGAGGGATTTTGAAGAACTCACTCCAGAGCTTTTGGTTGAATTCTGTTCAATGCAAAAAGCAAAGCAAGCTATTAGTAATTGCTGTTTTTCACTTTATTAAACTCAACTAGAGGATGTGTTTTGTTGAAATAAGTTTTATTTTATTATTACATTTTGATTTGTGTAATTGTTTGTCCCTTTTTTTGTTACATTTTTTTTTCCATAGCCATTCTTTGCCCCATATCTTTACATGCCAAGGTATTACCCTGGCAGTTCTCATCTCATCTCACGTCCACCACTAAAAACGAGTTTGTCCAGAGATCAGAGCAATGGCCTAGTAAGTATTTTGAAGGATAATAATTCGAATACTAACCTAGACAATATATATAGTGAGTAATGGAAATGAAGGTTATTAATGATGATTCACTGTTAGACAAATACAAGCTCTATATTACAAATAGTTTAATCAAAGGTGTTGTTAATATGTAATATAAAATGTATTTTGCTTTAATTTAGAAATTACTTAATGAGGAAAAGCAATTCTAACATACAGGTATCAGGAGTAGAGAAGTATTACCTGTAATATTGGCAGGAAAATATTTTAATAAAAATGCCAGCTGTATTACACTAAAGAAATTGATATAGTGTAATATTGTAAGAAAAAGAGTGCAACTTGTGAACTTGTATTCAAATTCTGTAAGATAAAATGACCTCCTTTAATGTTGTGGAGAATATTACAAATTGGAAGGCCAAAGTAAAAAGATAAAGGGAATGTTTAAAATATTTAAGTAAAACAAAATACATTTTATCTTAAGTATGCATTGCTTGTCGCTTGGTTTTGTAAGTACATGTAATTCAACTTGATTTTACCCATTGAAAGGGAAAAATAAGCAGACTTTTCTAGCTTCTTATAGAATACTAAAATTCCTATTTAACAGTATTTATTTTACTGATATTTAGCTGTTCAAATTGAATTAAGAACTAAGAAAATCTAAAAAACTAAAAGCCTCACTTGTCAATCAGTTTATTTCTAGGATATTGATACAATGAGCAAAGCTATTAAAAGGTGGTGAAATCTTTAATCGCTTAAGGAAAATAAATGTGTTACTGTTGAGTTATGTATTATTGCGAGATCATTCTCATTTGCTGTTTACTTCACATTTTTTGTTGAGCCCTTGATAATTGTACCCAACCCATGATATTTTGTTGTTGGTAGGATGTTATCAAGGAGGATGCTGATGAGGGGCTTCCTTCACCCACAGACCCCTCAATGGTAAACGAGTAGTCATGTGGTGTGGAAATTTTAGCATCTCATTGCTTTTTCAGCAGTCATGAGTCTGCATTAATCATAACTGCAGTTCACTAACACTGCATCAGTGGCTTTGGTGGGCAAATAGAGTAGTTGAAAACTAATGTAGTTCGTGAATGTATTTAAGAGCTAATATTTCACTTGTGAGATGTATTACGTTTTTCCCTGTAGTTTCCCCTTCCCTTTCTCAGTAGTAGCTGTGGTGAGCTTTCAGTAGAGAGTGTTGTGGTAGCTGAGCAGTGACGAATGACAGCCAGTCATTCAGCGTTAGATTTTTAGAATGAAGTAACTGTGGTTTTTCTGCTTTAGTCAACTCTCTCACCTGATCCCTACTTCTTTAGTTGGTGACATAAAGCTATTGTAGTTAACACAATGTAAAGCAACTTTCGATAGTTTTATGTTTTGTTGGTTTTTAATTGCTGGTCATAAGCTTATTCTTGAGTCTGAATGCTAACAACTGCCTTTTCCATGACTTGTTTTTGTTTTATCCTAAGTATTCACACAAAGATAGTGTCTTTATGGGTATCTGTTTTAACTCTTAATTGTGGGAATCGATGGAAAATCATTATTTATTACCAAAACAAAGAGGTTAATATGATTGTCATAATTCTCTTAATACTTGTTGCCAGTAGTTGTTGGCAACAGTTATAGTTTGATCTCGGTTACTTTTTCTTGTAGTAAATCATTGCAAAATGTTTTTCCATTATTCTGCAATGAAAAAAAAAACCAACCCACAGAAATTCCAGGACTGTGTTTAAATGCACATAACCTTCTCTGAGCACCCATATACAGATGATGACATGGAAAATGTTCGCTGAGGTTCTCCCTCCTAGGTCAATTAGCTGCCTTGTGCGAAGAGATGACTTTGGAGTAAGTTTTTCTTGTAGTATGTTTTTAGAGATGCTGATGCCTTCCCTGTGTTTGGTCCCTTATCTCAGTATCTCATTCTCTTCCCAGTTCTTGGCAGCTTCTGAGCGCAAGGAGAAAAAGTAGGGACTTTGGAGAAAGTGGCAGAGTGACGGCTGAAGTATGTGTGTATCCATGGGTGTGAGGAGGGACACGGGGCTGGAAAAGTGGGATTTATCCTCAGGGCAAAACAGTGAATGAGCTCCAGCAGCAGACCTGGACCTGGCGGTTGTTCTGCTCGCTGCTCTGAGTGCATATCTTAAGCACATGCAGGCTGCAGTTGCAAACAGCAGTTTAAAAGACATATGGAAGTTATACAGTCTGTGGGCTGAGGGTAAGAAAATACAGGAGTTAGAACATGAAAAAAGAATTTGGTTGGAGTAATGATAATGGAGGATTTTATTAGATCTGAGTTTAATTTATGTTACTGTGAAGCTGTGTAGCACAGCACATCAGATCATAGGCTTATTCTAAGACTTAGCAATATTTAACCTACAGTGTGAATCTAAACTTCTGAATTTTTTAAAATCTCTTGGGTAGAGAATGTTGAATGTTGTTAGTCAGGGTACGGTATTCTGCGTGCCTGACAGGATGATGCCTCATCGAGGTTTCATCTGTTCTAAAACCACTTTTTTGTAGACTTCATTGAAATGTCTGTGAAAGGAAACAGTATTACACTTGTTTTAGGTACTATAATTATCCATAGGTGATGAGTACAGTAATTTCATCCAGCTGTTTAGGTAGCTCTTAATTGATGGGTCATTGCTGCTGTAGAAATGATACAGCTTTTACTTATTAAATGGATTGGTGCATGCAAAGTAATGAAATAAACTGAAAAACCCTACTAAGTAGTTAATGAACACCAAGATGTGTAATTGGTTTGGTGATTGAAAACAAGAGGAGCGTGCAGAATCAAAACTGTCTTTCATGCAAAACTGGCAAGGAGCCAGAAATGATGCGATTTTCCTTCTGTATGAAATAGAGAATAATCATTATTTTGAATGTTTAGATCTTACAGGGAGAAAAAAAATCAAACGTGTTGCATCAGGAGTATAATTTTTTTTAACAAATCATCATTGCTACTCACGGCATAAGTTGGCAGAGCTGTGTTAGGATGTCACGTGATGGGGGGTTGGACTGGATGATCTTTAAGGTCCTCTCCAAGCCAGACCATTCTGTGATCGTCAGCTGCCATTGGTGTCGATCTGACATTGGAGTTGACAGAGTTCTGAAGTTTCAGATCCTAATCATCGATCCTGTAAAGTCAATGTAAGTCTAGGTTAGCTTAGTGAAAGTCAGAAGTATTTTGAGAGCAGTCATCCTGTATCAAGAATTTGGATTCTGATGACAATGGTGTAACTTACCTATCTCAGACTGTAGCTTACTGGTTTTTACTGGATGGGTTACAACATAGACATCAAACCAGTAAGTTCACCAGTGCCATCTATGTAGTACCAGCATGAAGGCGCGCTGCAAATTTGAGGGTATCAGCTTAAATCACTGATGAAAATAGACTTGACTTAAGGTGTCAGCCTTTGCACAGCTGTGGTGGAGGCACAGACGCACTTCTGCTGACTTTACTGTACAAATGACTGTTTCTGACAGGATCTGCAGAAACTTCTAGAATGCTCTTCTGAAGAGTTCATCATTGGATTGGTGTTACCAGTGTCTGTTCAGAGTATCCCCTACTACTGTGCTAGAAAGCGAACTAGCATTAGCGGTCGTTATCTGTCATAAACTTCACTGTGTGCTGTAGTTTGCATTGTGAATTATGTTGCAATAGAATTACGTTGTTTAAATGCATTTTTCATACTGCATTGCTGTAGTATGAAATGTGGAACATCAAGATGCAGTGTGTGTGCTTTGAAAGAGAACTAACATGGCCTAGAGCATGTAGTGCTGATAAACATGCAATACTCATGAAGAAACTGGAAGTGCTTATCAAAGGTTTGGGCATGAATTGAAGTGTGTGGCATGGTTGTTTTCTTATATGGATTTTCCAGGTGTAGGTAGCATTTTTGTGCTCTATTTGTTCTTAAAAGAAGGACCTTTTCAGTTCTGTGGGTTGTGGTGGTTTGCGTTTTTAGGGAGTGGGGAGGTGTGGGTGTGCTTGGATACAAGGTTTCAGAGTTATTTGAGATACGTTCGTGGTATTTTTTCACTTTTATCACTTTTGAAATGGTAGCAGAATGTTTGGTTGAAAGCAGGATTTTCCATCAGAAACATAATGTAAAACTTGTATGCAAACAAAATACAGTAAGTGTTGCTTTATTCCAAGTGCAAGATGCAGTAGTCAGCTCGCAGGGAAATGGTATTTGTATAGCATTGTACTAAATGTATGTTCTGAAGGTCTATCTTAAAAGTTTCACCACATTATGAAAATAACCCGTTTCTGTCCTAACACTGATTTCCTCTGTTTACTTCAAAGCATGTCATCGGTGTGTTCAACCTTTCTGATGTCTCTTTAAGCTGTTGTTTCTTTTCATTCTGTTTTGTCCTTTTCTCAAAGCCATGTATGTCTGGGTTAAGCAAAAACAGACAGGTACAGCCACTTTCTGCGAATTATCAGTCACTTCTTTCAGAGTCATTCCAGGAGCTATCATACTGGCGCTTCATGCTGGGCTGTCTGTAAACTAATGCTCATTACTAGCCTTGAGGTTTGTTTTGACAAGCTGCTTTTAGCTTCTGCATGGCAAATACTTTTCAGACTAATGTTCTCTAAGCATCTCTAACAAAACCACTAAGGCTGAAAAATGTGTCAGTTTAAGTACAGTTTTAATTCACTTACATGATGACAATATCCCTAAAGCTATTACATATTCTTCGGAGAGTGCTTTTTATAAAGAATGATTTGGATTAATGTGCATCTATTTCAAACAGTTCGCACTTTAACTAAAATAGTCTAAATATTTTAGCACTTTCCCATTTTTTTTATACACAGAAAGAAGAGTTTCTAAACTAACTCTTAATGCTTGCAGAAAGAGTGACTTGTTCTTGATTGTTAAAACAATATTTTGATCTGAAGGAGAACTGTTAAATTAGAAATGTGTGAAACTTTTCTTCATTTATTTGTAGGTATTGATAGATAATGTATTTAACAGATTCAGAGAATAAAAGCAATTACTTACACACATTGCTTAGGGATCATTTATTTTAGTAGTGCCACAATGTAATTTAGGCTGCAATAGTTTATTTTATTTTAATTGATAAGCTTTCTTTCAAAAAATAATTAAGATTTGAATTAACTTTATACTTTTATTTATTGCTATGTTACCTAACACCAATAGCAAATAGTGTGTTTATGGGGAAATAAGGAAAATTGAGATGTACATAAAAGAAGTATATGATAAATAGTTTAGGGATGAAGCTTCTTCCTGTCATCTTCATCAGTTTGGTGGTTGGATTGTATCCTTAATATAAATATTTTAGCTCTGCTAAAAATCAGGCTAGATTAAGACCTGAATTTCCTTCTTTAGGTGCCTAATATGGTAACTAATTGGGTATTGTAGGCATCTAATTAGGGAGACACTGCAGAATCTGGAAAGTAACTGTCTTGTTCTCAGAAGGAGTACCAAGCCCCTGAGTTGGGTCCCTAGACTGTAGCGGTATTATAATGTGTAATATCCCCAGATGGGGATATCTCTGATAACAGTAAGTTAGAAATAACTCTGAGGTTAAATAATAGTAGGTAATGGGGTTCAAGATTGCTGCCTTGAAAGCAATGGTTTAATACATTCTTCTTAAATACCCTGGTTTAGATAATTTAGATGGGGTCAGTGCCGTTCTGTGTGATAATCCTTGGTTTTCATAAGCAATATAGTTGGATCTATTAATTTATATTATTTCTGAAATATTAAATAATTTTGGAATAATTAAATAAAAATTGAGAAAAGGTGTTACCACTGTAAAAACAGTCTTCATTGGTGATTTGAGGAATATAGTCCAACTTGATTAACTGAACTCTAAGTAGCCAAAATGCACTTCTACATCCCAGGATTTGCACATGTGATTATGAGCTCTCAAGCTTTAGAAGCTCTTTTGTATCCTCCCAAAATGAGCTTCATGTGGTGCATGGTCTACACTGCT